TTTTACGATTTTAATACTTAGAAGGAGTCCATTGAAGGCCCGCATCTCATCAATCGTGACATCCTTCCAGTCACCTTTTCGACTGATCTGCGAGACTATAAGTCATTGTATAATTTTTTGTTGTTGATTTGAATACAGAAGGCTCCTTTGTTTAAGCAGAAGAGCACAACGCAGACTGTATACTAGCACCAGTATTTTTAATGGGATAAGATGTTTTTGTATCAAAATAGAGTTAATTATCCAACAATGATTTTTGTATTTGTCCTGCTACCTTTTAACTTTTTCTCAATCTCTCTCCTTATTATTGCATTATTTTTACTCCTTGTTATTGCATACAAGGTGTACAGGGAATACGAAGTATGCAATGTTTATACAGGGTGTCAAATGGCGTTGTGACCCCCCTCCACGGCATAAACTAGGAAAGATACACACACATACCATATACCATTGGAAAGAGCATTTAATTGTTGTTAACATGTGAAAAGATGAAGATGCATGATGGAAAATAAGATCTATTTTCAACTTACTTTTAAAAGTGAGTATGACCCCCTTGGGCAGCCTTAACCGCTGCCAATCTAGCCGGATATGAAGCTAAAAGGGAATGGAAAAGGGCTGTGTCTTTCTCAAGAGATTTTAATACTTCGTAATGAAACTAGCACCCTCATTCTCTATATGCAATACACCTTATTCTGTCTCTATATCGCTGATTATCATCATCAAAAAGTTGTTTTGTCATCTTTCTTTCAACTGTGAACTAGCTTTAGTCTAAATAAATAAAATAAGGCACTACACTTTACAGTCAGCCACTTCTCAAAAATCATTGAAATAGAGCACTACACTAGTACATTTCAAATGCATGTAACACTATGTAGCAATATCTGACCTAGGTCATCTAGGGTTTATTTTATCCAGAATTGAATGCTCTTTCCAATGACATACATAATGTGTAGGTACCTTTCTAAGTTTATGCTGTGGAAGGGGGGCACAACGCCATTTGACACCCTGTATACTATTTAGAATAACTTATTGCTTTTGATCCCCCCTATGTTGATAAAAAAGTGAAATAGAAATATGTGGCAAACTGATCATGAAAGAATCTGTATCCTTAGAGAAATGAAGACATCTTTTTCCTCACACAATGAAGCATGAAACCAACTCCTTGTGGCCCCTTCATCCATATTGCATGCGAAAAAAATGTTACCTTTAAAACAGGAAGCACATTCAGTGGGGTCTGAAAAACAACCTTAAACAAACATTGAAATTGGACAGCAAGGATTATTTGAGTGTAATTTCAGAATGGTTCCACCGAAGAAGTTCAGTCTTTAATTTCTTCTTTTTTAAAAATGTATCAAAATTGCTTGGTAGAATATCTGTTTCTTTAATGCTTTCCCTTGTTATGTCTTCAACACCAGAATCTCGCGAATTCCTTTATATTAACTTAGGGGTAATAAGATCACTTTCCTGTACATCAAAAAAAGAATATGAATTTGCATTTTCATTGAGATAAATTTAGAATACATTTCTTTAACATAAGTGACAAAATTAAAATAAAAGTCCTTATGAATGCTGTTTTTTGTACCCCTCTACTAATGGTCTTCAATAATCTTTTCAAAATGAGAAACTCCATGGAGGTTTCTACTGCTGGAGATCATAATGTACTTAAACTTTTAATATTTGGTTTATCATTTTTAAAAGACTATATGTCAATCACATGTTTTATAAAACTTATATCAATTTTTCTTTTTCAAGAATGACTTATATGCCAGTATTTTGTATACATACTGTTTATTTGTTTTATATTATCAACAGTAATAATGAACATTGTGTTAAATTATGAGAAGGATCGGGTTCAAAATAAAATGGTGATGCTGTTTGGAGTTAGGCCTAGTTGTATCTGTGTCTTTTTCGAGGATTGTTGTCAGTGGGTTGAGCGTTTTTCTGTTATATTTTTCTCTTCAGTATTTTGACAATCTGAGATGATGCATAATTTTCTCTGTTTATTGCTTTTTTGTTTTTTTTGGAAGTTGAGATAAACATGAAGTTCCAAGCAAGCCAGTCTCTTGATCGATGAAATTTTTGATTTTCAAATTCATAAATTTCTGGGTGAGGTTACATGTATTTACTATCAACAGATTTGGTAACATCATCTACCATCTACTGATCTAGGGCTAGTAGATCTAGTCTACAGCCATAGGATAGGCATAGGCCTTAGCTTAGAATTATTGTGAGATGTTCACCAGATCAATTGCTGCACACTTTATGTTGCATAACAAGTTTTATTCTCACTGTATCTGATGCGTGAGGGTAAACCTGCCTTGTAGCAGGCTCGAAAAGACATAATGTTAACAACATTGTTAAGTCAAACATTGTTTTTTTTTAGAAGTTTAAACATTTGTGGAAAAATTGGCTTTCCTAGCAACTGACATGGAAACGTGGAATTTCCTTAATTAAATCCCTGATTCGTCAGGTTTTAACATATTTTTAAATTAATGGAATTGGAGGATGTATAATTTGATAGAATAAACAGTTATTCTTGGTTAGAAAAATTATTTTAAGAAGAAAAATAACGAAATCATAAGGGAATCCCATGGAAATCTCTGAACTCACAGCAGGCATAGCGATAGACCGGGACTCTCCAAGAGTTACATTAACGCTAGCGTTTTGGTTTTGAGACTTCTGAAATCGTCCCTCTTTGCAAAACTAATTCCAAACCCTAGTGATGTGGCATTTGTATCATAAATACACACAATTTGTAATCATTCTGTAGGCCTAGGGCACATTTCAATGTCATATCAAGCCTCTCTTCAATTAACATATTCTTCCAGATTGTGGTTAGTAGTAACATTTCTATCTGGGAAGTGATCTGAAAAAAATGTTGGTGCCTCAAAGTTTTATTTTAGCAGCTAAATTTTTGGGAAATCACCCCCGGTGTCTGTACCTTAACAGAGTGAGTTTAAAATGCACTTAGCTCTTAACAATGCTGTCGAGGCAATATTAGAGATACTAGAAAATGATTTTGTGCAACCACATTTTCGTTTTATACGTATAATTTTCAATTATTACTGCATTTGAGTGTTAATAAAATTTGGGAGTTTTAAAGATGGCTGCTTTAGCGCCAGTGAGGAGTGAAGAGATCTGGAAATCTCACAATATCATGCCATGCCACAGGCCTTGGTCAATGATGTACTGGAATCTGGTTATTATAACCTAGTATCAACTTTATGGTGCGAAGCGAACAAAATGTTTACTTGCCAGTGCCTTCCAAATTCCATTTGAATAACTATAGAAATATATTTTTCCTTTAAAAATCTTATAAATATAAAATTCTCAATCTGATATTGTTAAAGTTACCATGTGACTTCCCTGCTCTATGTCCCAACTCATTGTCAAATGTTTCCGTGTATTCTATGTATCTGGCAACCACATCCTATGGCTCCTTGAAAATAGTCAGCCACTTTAAAGACCATGGTCCGTTCACAGTGTAAATTTTCTACCAAACAAATATTGATGGAAATTTTTCACTGCTACCACACTGATTAACAGTTCTTTTCTTGTGACTTAGTAATTTTCTTTACTTTAGACATCTGCTGGCCTCCATAGGCTAAAACCACTTGACCCATGTAAACAGCTGCAACATGGGATATATGCCTCACGCTGTTACTATGCTATCAGTTGTGTTATATGACAGTAGTAGACAAGCTTCCAAGTACATATATCTATGCATGCTCAATAAGAAATAAACTCACCACTGATACAAAAAAATGTCAATTTGTTCCCGAGTAAGTGAAGTGTGAGGAAATAAGTAAAGGTTTATTTTGTCCATCTGGGTCCTAAACTGAGATTGGTTTTCAGTGATTAGTTCAATATCTCTATTCAATTTTTTAGAATTTTTTGATGACTGGTTTAAGAGAAACATTTGTTCAAAAAGTTCACCATATCGATACCAATCCTTTGATTTTTTTCAAGAACATAAACACTGATTTGTAACTGTAGATTATGAAATGTACAATAAACAATACATTCTCAATTCTTTACATTATTGCCCTTTCCTCTGCATTCCTTGGTGCAACAAGGGGATCACATTTTGTACTCAGGGGTTGTGTAGGTTCTGTGGTTTGATCTGTTGTCAATACATGTTTCATTTTTGTACTGAATCAGTGGAAGTAGAAGGACGTACTGCTCCAGATGATGTTTGAACAGTATCAGCAACGTTTGATGAAGATGAATAAGCTGTAACACTCGGGCGAGTTGAAGATGAAGAACATGCTGCAACACTGCGAGTTAAGAGAAGAACATGCTGCAACGCTGCAAGTTGAAGATGAAGACGATGATAAACTGAGGACCTCATGATGAGACAACCAGCGACCATGATGATGAGTTGGAATAGCTGATTTTGCCATCTGAGCAAGATGCCTCTTAGAATAAATCCTGTCGCCTGGCTTTGCACAGTTATTTCCTCTAACTTTTCTGTTCCTACTGAAACAACAAGTTTTAAATATATATATTTGATGAGAAATATACTTTTACTCATACAGAACAATTAAGTTTATTGATTCTGAGTCTTTATATCCCATTTAAATTGGAATTATATAGAAACACTCAGAAAAATGCACAACTAAGATTCTTTGTTGTTCTGAGAATGCTTCTTGCACTGTTTCTGCTTCGATTTTAGCATTAATCTTTTGGAAGTATTACCTCACAAATTTTATTCTCATGGTTCATTCCTAATCTAAAACTGATTTATTCATTTATTTGTATTTACAAAAACAGAAAACAGATTAATAACAAATGCATAATATCTATCTTGTCCTACATGTTCTAGAACTCATTTTTATGCATATTTATTCCACTGTACTTTGGTCACCAAAGGTCCTCTATGCAACACATGACTAGTGTCCTAGTATTGTCAAAAGATGGCAGCATGTGACTGAGTTGTGTCCAAACAATTTTCGGACTATACCATAAGTGAGATGTCCAGGCTTTACGAGGACGATTCTCAAAAATAAAAATTATTTAGTATTTTGAGAAGCTGATCTCAGAAGTCTTTATAAACAATAGTTCTGTCAAAAAATGATTAATTTAAATTACATAAGGTTTGGAATGAAAGTGCCCCGTCCATATTTCATATTTGATTAAAAATAATTAGTGCATTTGGCAAATAGAATCTTTTTTATTGTAGTTTATTCAAAATATTCCTATGCTGGCTGTACTAATTCTTCAAAACTTCCAGTCATTGACGTCATTGATTTGACTCAATTGCAAAGAAAATCTACAATTATCGTGCTTTGGAGTCACCATCAGCCAGTGATTAGGGAATAGTTAGCAAGGATATAGCGGGAAGCGATACACTGTTCTAGTTCATTGTGTACCAAGATTTACTGCGTATCACTATTTTATGTCCTAGGTTTTCTAAAGTTAATGAATATATAAGCACAAATGCCAAAGGGAAGGGTGACTAAAAACTTTAAAGAAACCCAACAAGAAAAGCAAACTGTAAGTGTGAATCTGTCATAAGAAAAGTAGACCCTATATATCCCAAAACCATGATCTAACGTGAAAAGAAACAATGTCTAACATCCCCCTCCCCCCTCCAATCGAGAACCAATATCACAATCCAGGACCAGAACACTAAGGGACATTTATTTGTAATTTGTTTGTATATATTGAGATATTTGTAAGATTTGTTGAGAAGCAAGACCTTGTAGAAGGAGCTATTGTGTCAGTTCGGTTTAATCACTGACCACAGATAGTTCCAGGAAGACTTCCATTGCATCGAGCAGTGAGGATACTAAGCTCAGGAGCAAGAGGAGCCAGGCTAAAGAGCCCAAGGAGCCAAACCAAAGTGAAGAGCTATAGGAGCTGAGCAAAGAGCCAGTGTCAGCTATTGTGTCAGTTCTGTTTCACCACTGACAACATATAGTTCCAGGAAGACTTCAAAAGCATCGAGCTGGTAGGAGCCTTCACAATAAGCAAGAACCTGAGGAGCCGGGTAAAGAGCCAGAGGAGCCAAGCTCAAGAGCAACAGGAGCCAGGCTAAAGAGCCCTAGAAGTCAAACCAAAGTAAAGAACCAGAGGAGCTGAGTAGAGCAGTGAGATTAGTGAGATCTTGATGTATTGAGTAATTTTTATTATTTTTGTCGGCTGTGGGAATCCGATCATGAGAAATCAATTAATTCTACTTGTAACAGGTATTCCAGAGGAATCACATGCCGAGTAGAACTGCCAGAAACGCCTGCACCACTCTGCTTCAGTTTCAAGTTTTTCCAGCTCGCTTATAACTCCCTCGCTAAATGTGAGTTGCGCGTATATGTTTCTTCACTCTGTCCCTCAACTCACATATATGCTTGACTGCTGGATTCGTGTTACCTTCCTGAGGCACCTTTATCCACACCTCCTGTCGAGGTAATTAGATGTTAGATTATCCCATTCACAGTCTCTGGGACTACAGGCTAGAGCCATACTCCTGTTAATTGTCACCATGATTGTAGCACTTTTTCTTTCCCCTTTATTGTAATTAGATGTTAGATTATCCCATTCCCAGTCTCTGGGACTACAGGCTAGAGCCATACTCCTGTTAATTGTCACCATGATTGTAGCACTTTTTCTTTCCCCTTTATTGTAATTAGATGTTAGATTATCCCATTCCCAGTCTCTGGGACTACAGGCTAGAGCCATACTCCTGTTAATTGTCACCATGATTGTAGCACTTTTTCTTTCCCCTTTTGTAATTAGATGTTAGATTATCCCATTCCCAGTCTCTGGGACTACAGGCTAGAGTCATACTCCTGTTAATTGTCACTATGATTGTAGCACCTTTTTCTTTCCCCCTTTATTGAGGCTGAGTAGATATAAGTTTCTAGATATAAAGTCTGCTTTTTATATTATTATATTATTGGCAGCTCCAGGGGATATACCTGGCTTGATGTGTGTCTGAAATATGTGTGTCATAATAATATATAGTCCTATTTTGTTTTTTCAAAATATGCATAACATTTATTACAATAATAGAGTTCAAAAAATGTTTTTTAACTCAGGGATTCCAAATCCCTTATATCTGAGCAATCCATTACTAGATGTAACTTTGGCATTAAGAATCGCTGACATATTCCTACTTATTCAATACCCTCAGCTAGATCAGAGATTGAACGCTTTGACAACATATTTATAATATCTCAATATTTTAATACCACTTCAAGTTTTTTTCTCAATAAGATTTGCTGTCATGGCAGTTGCTATGACTTACTTAGCAGCCTGATGCCAATACTGCTGAAATAGCAAAATATGCTTATGGGAAAGTTAACTTTGGCTTTGAGGTGGAGCAAAATCATCATAAAGTTTATTGTCAACTTTATTGACATAAACAGACGTTTAATATGTCTACCATTTTGATCAATTGTAGCCTCAGTTGTAGCCCTCAATTGAAACATTATCAAAGCAAGTCAAGAATGGACGATATTGATATGACATCATAACAATATTGTAGAAAATACATGGATACGCGTGGCAACAAAGCTCCATTGGTATTACGTCACAGCTTAGTTTTGTAGAATGAGCATGGATACTCATAGCAACGGTGTATCTGTTGCTATGTTGTTGATGTTTATAAGCCAGTGATTTCACAAGTAAATCTCATCTTGCCTTTGTGACTTTTTAGGATGAAAGATGGCAACATCTTGCATGGAATAAAGATGGCTGTATCTTGATTAGTCATATGAGAAAACATACTACACTGCAATGTGAGAAACCAACATACGATTTAATCTGATTTGATGCATAAATATGCTGAAACATATAAATAATTTCAGCTTATTCTGACCATAACCAAAGGCCCAGTCAATGAATAATTATAATCATCGGTGATATATTTTACAATATATATTGATATACAATTACAATATATCATAGAATCTTGATGCTTATTTCTTAAAAAAACAAGGAATTACAAAAAACATAAAATATTAAATTACAACTAAGGAATAACCTGATTGAAAAAGTAAAATATGCAATAAAAGATTAGTTTACGAACAAATGGACAAGAATCAAGAGATTTTCCTTGTCTGTTTATTTAGAAGATGATGACACAATGAGTTGAATGTTTTTTAGCACTTAAATATATTCCACAAAAGTTACCATTATTAGCCATGAGAGCAACTGGATTGTTGCCTGTTCTGTGGGTGTTTATAAAACAGAAGATGTCTTCCCGCCTCTTGCAGGCCAGCACTTGGGACGGGATTGTCATCCGCATACATAAAGGTGCCAATCTTATCTATTCCTGTTAGATGTGTGATTTGTGTTTGAATAGCCTTCTTTGGTAGAATATATCTCATGAGTGTTTTTTCTCTCATCTGAGCAACGATTTGAATGATGTCATCCTCCTTTTCTGAAATTATTCAATGAAAATAATTTGCAGATTTCAAACAGAGCTACTTTATGTGTAGCTCTGTATTATGCTGTCAAGTAATACAATGGATGATACGTGGATATACAACAGAGATATTTAGTTCATTCATAAAAATTCTTTTTCTGACAAATAAACACAGATATGCTCACTGTTATTAGTTAGGGGCTGAGGGGAAATAATTTACACTATTTCCTGAAAATATGGTAGTCACTGTTTGTTTTATTATAGACCCCTCTTGTTGACTGTATAAAAATGTAAAAATAATACATGTGCACATATTGCATTTTAGACCAATGTGCCAGTTAAATGTTGTAATTTTGTATTAAGTGATGAATGTTTGTTTTTTGGCTATTTCTTGAGCAGAGACCTAAGTATTTGTAACCCTAAATCAGAGTCTGTCGTCCTTTTCAGCTCTTGTAATGAATGCCTCCTGGCCAATTTCTTTCTCCTTGGCTTCTCACATGTGAACTGGCTATTTTCTACTGGCTTATTATTGGCATATTGTATTTTTTCTCTATGAAATGTTCGCCATCTATATGTTTTCAAAATGATTTACTTATATACATCACTTATTCATTACATGCTGATAGCTACAAATTATTTGATCCAGAGTTTACTTGGCTTGAACTCCCTTCATAGCATAAAGATATGTCATTTATAGCAATAACCACCACTTGGCAAGGTTGAAGGACCGTTCAAATTCATATCAGAAATATCTCAATGTCTCCCTCTTCAGTCATTCTAGACTTAAATAATAATGTGACTTTAATAACTCTATTGATTTATAGATCGTAAAATATACCTAGACTTGAAAAATTTTCAAATCCGATGGGGCAAGGATTAAATATGAATATATAATGAGTTGGGATCAATATTTGCCACTAAGGCCAGTCCATTTATTATAAAAGAGTGTCATCGAGAAGGATATTCAAAAGAAAGGTTTGTATGAATCAGCTGTACTATTGGAACCCATAATTCCAAACTCCTAAACTTTATTCTTAAGCAGCACATATGCTGATTTAATTATATAACCTTTCCAGCAAACGTGATGGGTTATATAGGTGCATAACCTGTCAAGGTTTTTAATTTATCAAGTAAAATTGGTTTTTATATTACACTGGCCATATGGCCATGTTTATTCTGGAAGACCTCAGGCATGTCAGGTATGGTTTATATTTTCTTGTAGGAC